GATAAGGAGCGTATCCCAAAGAAAATATTATACAGTACAGTAGGTGGTAGGAGACGTGCAGGGAAACCAAGAACTAGATGGATTGATGCGCTGGAAGAAGATGCAAAGAAGTTAATGGGCGTAAGGAACTGGAAGAGAGCAGCGCAGGCCAGAGAGGAATGGAGGAGCTTGATAAGGGAGGCCAAGGCCCGACATCGGGCTGTTGCGCCATAGAAGAAGAAGAATATGTATGCTACAGTGTAGAATTGGGCATAATAGGTCATCGTAGATCTTTGTTGTTTGAAGTTTTTACGCAGTAAGCCCGGTCGTGGAGCCCAGAGACAAGTTTCTGTTATGTACGGGTTGTTAATATGTGATGTATTTGGTGTGCATATGTCCGATATGTGTCATTGTATGAATGTGTATGAATAGTTCACAGTGAACTGATGTGTGTAACAAATAAATTATCATGATATTTTACATTGTTTCGCGTGTATGGTTTAAAGAGCGTCGAATGAAATGGGGAGACAGAAAAGTGTTATTTATACTCGTGTGATACTTGGTAACCATTTCTGGACATAATTTTCGCTAGTAAGCCTTCATATTCCCAGCATATTTAATGTTGTTAGATATTGTCTTAGAGGTTCACACCGCCAAAATATTTATAATTCATAACATATAAATCGCCTTACAAAGATCTTGTGGTTATATTTATGATGTGTTCGGATAAAATTGCTGCCTCTAGCTTCAGTGGTTAATCATTTATTGATATTAGACCAAAAGAAATGTTCCGATATAAATTTCTTGCGGCCACTGTGTTAATGTGTCACATTATACAGATAATTGTATTGACGAAATTAGTATATTTTCACTGTCCTATATCAAATGGAGCCAATGTAATGGGCTTACTGGTTCCTTAAAATACAGGGGATTCCTTGACTCTCTGGGCGGCTGTATTTTCTCAAGAAGGAACCTGCTTCATGAAGTTAGCTAATTAGTTTGACAGCGTTGCTCCCACTTATGACGTTCACAGACCGTCTGGATGGTAATCTTTTATTTAGTAATATAAGGAGTATAATGTGTGGTGGCTTCTCTTGACGTTATTTCATATACTCATATTCAGGAAAATCCATCAGTTGGTTCGAAATGTATTAGAGAGGATAGACATATGGTTGTGATTATACCGCAAGCCTATCTTTTCCTTATAAAGTAAAGAAAATAGATTAATATAAGCAAATATGAGGTGAATTTTCCCTTATCCTGTAGCAACGGCTTAGCCGTTTGAGAGAGCACGATTTGTGTTGGCCTATCCGGAACCAAATTGTAGAACGCGCCACGTAAAACACAACAAGATGGCCCACTTAAAACTGCCACACACTTCATTTTGTCTTTCCTTGAGAAGAAGAAGGGCCGAGAAAATTGTAGAGTAGATAAAAAAGAAAAAAAAAACATGGGAATAAGCGGAGACGCCTTGTTTTTGGAAAGAGAAAAGCCATCCAAGGTTCCCAGGCTTCACCGTCTGCCCTTCTCATAAGAGTAATTTGCTACCATCGCGGGATCGGAACCCACTACGGTTATGTGCGTAGCCCATTTGCAATTATTCTGCTGTTATGTTGTCCCCTTGTTGAGTCTTACGCCAAAGACTCATGGAATGAATCGTAAAGAGTGAACAGGTATGGATTTGGAAGGAACTAGGGAAAACCTAATGGTTAGTTAAAACAGCATATGATTCAGTCGAAACTCGAACCAGGTACCTTATGCCCAGAGTGTTGCCGCTACACCATCATGTTTCGCTTTTGGCTATTGTGCTTTTAACAAGCATTAAATTTCTTTTACTACTAAAGATAAACGTTCTCTTTACGGTTGTTGACTTTGTTCTGTTTCATTACATGTCTGTTGTTTTGCCACGGCCACTGGACCGCAAATACCATTGCAGAACAACCTTGAGAAGGTCGCACTCGAGCAATCTCATTCACCTGTGTCGTCGAACCCTTGGAACATGTTACGGGAACGTCTATTAAAAAANAAGCGACGAGAAGAAGAGGGGGGGGGGGTGAGAAATATAGAGGGGGAAGGATTAAACTATTACTTTTCCTTGTGTGGAATGGCAGGTTCGAGAGCATAATATCCGAATATGAAAATGCTAGAAGTGGCTAAGTCCAGAACAACTGAAAGTTTAATGTTACTTCCGAAAGTGATTCAAGGACCGTGGATGCATCAGCGAGTTTTCCCGGGATACATATCCAATTTATATTGAACATACATCGTAAGGTCTGTGTTTAATTTTTCACTGCAGCTTCTATTAGAAATATTTCCCCTCCGAAATATATTAGGCAAATTGCGCTACAGAATACTCGCAGAAAGACACACAGTTCCTTATGCACAGTGCCCAGTTATTTTTATCAAATTTTAAGAGAACTTGGAATTTATAGAAATAAGTAAGTAAAGCTATACCTGTACCAGGCCTTGAAGGCTTTACTCCCCAGGAAAATTATTTAATAAATTCCTGGTACTCATTTCTGTTAGAGGCTGAGTGAACCCCAAGGCCATAGTGCGGCTGGAAGGTTTAGGTCAGTTGAAAAATTGAACCCGCGACCTTCCGGCTTGCAGCATAGCCCCTCAACCAACTACGCTATCGCGTACCCCGGAATATAAACTATAAAATGTCGTAAAATATTCTTGGGTGGTACACTTAAATAAGCCATTAACACTGCTTATTGAACCATCATTCATAATGTTCCATTTATTTCAGTCGACACTTGCTAGGCCTAACTTATGAACCTAAGAAAGCGCCTGAAAATGAAGTGGTATGATGCAAGGTATTTCGGCGGCAGTTATAGCATATGCAAGCAGTGATGACTGCTTTAGTGTGGACATAGTCGCGTCTTGCATTAGGAACATGCTACATACTGCGACATGCTGAATGCAGGTAATGGCATGAATTTCCAGGAAGACATCATATGATTAATAATCGAAGCATTCGGAGGCATTGTACCCTGAAATGAAGAGTTGACCATGATTATCTGATTCCTTGTTGACCACAAGGTCGAAAAATGAACCTGTATTAAACATAACCTCTTAAAAGAATTCTGCGTAAATTGGCGCAAAAACAATTACCCAATTTACACGCATACTCAATTTTGTGTTTTGATTTGATTACAGAGACTATTCTTGTACATATCAGCCATATGTTCTACATATGTACATACACTTGTCTATAGTTTCCCCCACTCGAATTTCCAGTCTTCCCCCGGTCCATTTACATGTCCCGCCCATTTCAACCTCTCTGAGTTGGCCTTCCGAAGGCAACTGGTGAAGAGCACAAATTGCTTAGCTCCTGCAACGTTCTGTGCACTAGATCCCAATTCGAACTCCAGAATCATAAAGAAGGCATATATTTATTTTAGAACTGTTTATAAATTTGTGAGTATTTCTTCGAAGTTAGGAAGATAAGAGGGATGAAATTGCTGTAGCCAAGCGTTCGGTCTGCCATTGCTTTGGTTTGCGTGGCATTGGCTGACATATACATAAAGGAAGCCTCGACACCGCGACCAAACATCCAGTGACTGATGATATTATATTTATACGGGCCCCCCCCCCCCCGGCTTTTGCCTGTCGT